AGGACCTAATGCCAGGGGGCTTAAGTGGAGAGGAAATGTTTTGAGAATGATGAGGGCAATGAATGTGCAAATGCGCTTTACACAATTGATGTGTGTATGGATTGTGATAAGAGTTGTATGAGCCCCTAATAAAATGATTAAAAAAAACCCAAAACACCAACAGTGTTCCCACATAAAAAAAAATTTCTCCTCTAAATATACCTTATGCTTTTTCTACCTCTAAATTCAACCCTAAATCTATTCTTACCCTGTACCCTAATCATTCTTTTAACAACTTTGTTAACTCCATTCATTGATGCGTCTTTCAGCTCTCAGTCCAAATGTTCTCAGAGTTGTCCTTCAGAACCTTGGTCAGGGTCATCCTAACGACCCCGAATGGCTGTTTTATTACTGCTTGGCCCCACACAGCCCCGATTCGATGGAACCCTTCGGGAGGGCGGCCTCTGTGTCTTTACTCATCACGGTATCTGGGCCATAGACAGACTCCCTGCTGATTTCGGACGCAAGGATTCAAGAGGTTCGTGCCCATTGCCTGGCACAGAATAGGTGCTTGGTAAATAGGTGGTGGGTGATTAAACTAACGAGGAAAGGCTTACAGTGACAGCTGGATGCCCTCCCACTGTGTCACCTGCCCCCTTTCTCCCAAGAACTCAAGCCAGTTGCCATTCAGTTGGTTCTGACCCACTGAGTCTCCAAGCCAGGATAGAACCAGACATGCCCCCTGGCCCCCCCCCCCCCTCGCTCAACGGACAGAACACTGCCTGGGCCTGTGGCATCCGCATAACTGTTGCTATGCTATGCTTCAAAGAACTCACTGCCGTTGAGTTGATGCCGACTCACAGGACAGGGTAGAACTGCCCCTGTGGGTTTCTGACCCTGCTGCTCTTATGGGAGGAGCAAGGCTGACTCATTGGAGTTAGCGGCCTAACTCATAACCACAATGCCACCAGAGCTGCAGGAAAGGAAGACATAGCCTCTTCTAATCCTCTCCAGTGGAGCCTTAGTGGTGTAATGGTTAGGCATTGGGCTATAATCCACATGGTCGGCAGTTCAAAATCACCAGCTGCTGCTCCGGAGAAAGACGAGGCTTTCTACTCCCATAAATAGTTTACAGTCTCAGAAAGCCTGGAGGGTCACTATGTGTCACCATTGACTGGATGGTAGTGAGAAGAAGAAGAAAAGAAGTCTCTGCAGTAGTCGACCGTAACTCTTTCTTAGGTAGAAAGTGCCTTGCCCATCACTAGACTAGCCTACAAGGTTGGCTGTTCAAACCCACCTGGCAACACTGCAAAAGAAAGGCCAAGTGATCCCCTTCTTTAAAGATCGCAGCCCAAAGCACCCTGTCCAGCAGCTCTGCTCAGTCACCCAGGGGTCATCAGGAGCTGAAATTCAGTTTTTTGTTTTAAACCTCTAAGTAATCATCAGTGGCTTAACACTCGTTGATCAAAACTCTTAAAGGTAGACTGAAATTCCAGATTCTTAGCTACCCCCTGCTTGAGATGGCACGCATCCTGCTGTAGCCTCAGCTTGTGCCCATACCACTCACACCCTGTCCTGCATCTTTCCCCGGACTTGCTCTGCTTCCCGGGGGAGAAAGATGGGGCTTTCTACTCCCCTAAAGAGTTACAGTCTCGGACATTCACCGAAGCAGCTTCACCCTGTCCTATAGGAAAGGTGACCAGATGTCCCACTTTGGGCGGGACAGTCCTGATTTGTAACAATTTGTCCCGCATCCCGCAGCATTTTTAAAAAGTCCCGAATTTTTGAAAGAATGCACGACAAGCTAGGGTACACGGTTTTCGGCTGCCATGTGGCTATTTCGCCAGGATATGAGTTTTATCAATGGTGTCCCGCTTTACCAATGCTAAAATCTGGTCACCTTACCTATAGGGTTGCTATGAGTCGGCATCGACTCGATGACAGTGAGTTAGGGTTTGTCTGTATTGCTCACTGCCATATTCTGAGTCCTTAGTGCCTGGTGTAGAGTAAGTGTCAATCAGTCTGGGTTGGGTTGTGGATGGATGGGTGCTAGGTGGGTAAATGGATGGATAGATTAGATCAATAGAAAACGGAGAGAAAAATGTTGGCTCTGATGGCAAAGGCCCTCCCTTGACAAAGACTCACAGCCCATGGCTTCTTTAACCCTCACCTCCACCCTCCCACCCCCCGCCTTGAGAAAATGGACCCTGGCCTTTTGCCGCTGGTGGTTGTGGCTCCTTTGACCAGCGAGGTCTGGAGGAGAGAGAGCTGAACCATCAAGGTGAGCCACCACCGCGTGACCTGCCCACAACGGTCGAGCTGCCCATTTGTACATCCTTCCTTCCTTTTATCTTTCAGTGGGGGCTTCGATCTTACCTCTTGCATTTGCGCTTTCTTCTGTTCAGTGCTTGTCGATGCCACTGAGTGTATGCCCCCCACCCTGCCCCATGCCCCATCTCTCTCATCCCAGCAATCAGATCTACAAACACAGAGGCCCGCCTCTTGGATCTCCAGCCATACAAAGTGCTATCACTTGGGCTGCGTGATGCACCTTGCTCCAAGTGCATCTTTGATTTATTAAACATTTGTGAATAAAATTCTGCATACGCTTTGCATGTTGGAAGGTTGTAACGGGAAACCTGAAAGAGAGGAGGGAGCTTGAGGTTTGGGGGGTCCCTTTCTGTCTAGAGTGGTCGGCTCTCAGAATCCA